TGCGGTGCCACACTTAGGACTCCACATTGGTTATATGAATGTATAAAAACTATACTAAAAATGGGGTCCTTAGGTTTGGTAGTAAATTATATTGTCCTGTTAACTTCCACATGTAAAGAATACAGAATTGCTTTTGACTTCATAGGCTTTTGACATGTGACTCTGATGGTGTGTTCATTTCTTAGGATATACTTGATAGTTGAGCCATGTTATGATGAGCAGAATAGTTGCACACTCACTGATTGGCATGCCCCACTCACTTTATCCACAGCCCCCTAGTCTGTGAGTGCTGCTTGGGACATGCACCTGGAAAGGTGAACCTGGATGTGCACTGCTGAGGTGTTGCCCTCCAGTCTACTGCTGTCCACTTCAGAGCCAGTAGCTTGTATAAGGTACTAGGTCATTGCTCCAACAGTTCATTTTTAAACCATTGTTTAAAAAAACACAAAAAAGGAAGAGGGGACTTAGACGTGATAGGTGCTTAAGGAATCACAGTTCTGATGAGTAAAAGTTCCTGTTAAACCCCGGCAGGCACCAAACCACTTCTCCTTCTGCAGTCTCTGTTCAGCTGGGTTCAAGAATTCATTGCAGTGACCTCCTATACTTTATTAGGGAAGTTAACAGGATCAGGATCAGAAAATGTTCAGGGCACAGTTGTTCCTGTTAGAACAGCCTCTCCTCAGCCATGCCCACAGACACGCCTCTCTTACAAAAAGCTCTTTGAGGGCCACCCAGACCCAGGACTCCACCATAAAGTGCAACCTGAAGGCTCTCAGCTCTAGCTCCGTGGGTCAGCAAACTCCTCCCACCTCCCCTGCAATGAAGTGGCTGCCCAAAGTCAGTCAGCTTTACTTGCTCCGTGGGCTGGAAAGCCCATCAGCGGTGCTGTCTTCTGTTCGGGCTCTTGGTTCTGTCTTATGCTGTGGCTCCTCTGCCATCCCTCTAGTGTCCCTCCACTGTCACAGCTTTCTGTCCCGGGCTCCGGGAGCTTCAGTGCACAAGGATCTCAGGGTCCAAAGGATGCGTGCCCTCCACTCCTGGCTCTTCTCTGATGGGAGTGAAATCCCCCCTCCTGCTGCCCAATCTCCTTATTGGATTTCCAAGTGTTTACAATCAGCAGTCCAGTTAATAACCACTCTCACCAGTGAAGCCGATCATCCATCAGCACCTCCCCCACCTCTCTCACTCACACCTATCAGGAAAAAATCGTTAGGTGGAAGTTTGCAGAGACTGGCTGGAAGAGACGTTAAATAATTCACTACACTGCAGTTATCACAGAGTGTGTGTCTCCCCACCCCCCGGACTATTTAATATAGAGACCACTGTCAGAACCATTTTAAAACAATGCTTTTGGCTTTGAATCATGTTCTGTGTACTGTTTGGTGGAATCTTCGGAAGCTGTGTGATTCAACTGTAAATCGACTAATAAATCATAGTGAATTCCAGTAACTTCTCTTTTGTACCAAGTAACGGAGAAAATCGGGCTCATCTCTCATTGGCTTTAACAGGTCCTTTTCCAGGAATAATTCTGACCTTGTGATACAGAGATAAGGACTCGTGAGCTTTAGGGGACCTGTTGTTGGTGTGTAGGGTTTCCGAGGAGCAGCTGGTGAGTTTGAACCACTGACCTGGCACTCCAGTGCTGTATCCCACAGCGCCACACCAGGACCTGTAGAGCTCTTCTTTAATTAGGGCAACAAGGTTGTGTTCAGTGCCTGCTCTGAGCCTGGTCCTGGACCGGGACAGGACAGGACAGACAGACGTATGGACGGAGGCTGAGCATTTCCCAGCTACCTCCTCCTGGGAGGCTTTCAGCTCTCAAAGGTGTCAAGCATTTCACTGTGGAGCCCTTAGGAGCCATTCACTCAGTGGGAGACAGACGAGGAAAGGGTATTTAAGCCACAATTGCCATATTTAACTTAATATAAACATGAAAACGTTTCTGCAGCTGGACGGGCTCTTTTGCTTTTCTGTTTTCAAGAAAAAGAGAAATCTCACATTGAAAATTATTCACCTTTTCACCCAAGTTTGACTTTTTGCTAATTGGATTTGAGAGGTCTCTGAGTACATTTTCAAATGTATTCCCTCAGGACCCTCCCTCTCATTCTGTGTCACTGGAGTTTTGTCATCATCGCAAGATTCTCTCCTTCATTCAATGTGTGCGGGCGGGGGGAAGTGAAGAGCTGTACCCAGTAACGGCTGCTCTGCCATGCACACATCGTGCCTTGTTTAAAAGCACCAGCTAAGTAGATGTTTTGTTTAAATGTTAGCAAGCAAGTGTAAATCTTTCTAGCCCAGCCAAATCACAGTTTAGAAGAACTTGCTTTTTCCTCAAGAGAAGGTTTTACTGTAGAGATTGTTCTAGTTATTTTATAGGTGCCTGGACCTTAAGCACTGGTGTTTGGAGTCCTGGTTGGACACTGTGGGCTACTGCGCTGGTTCAAAACTCGGTTTGAACCACAAAGTCGTGGTTCAAGCTTACCAGCCACTCCGTGGAAACCCTATATAGGGTTCCTGTGGGTCGGAACCAACTCGATGGCACTCAACAACAGTGCCTATATGAAAGAGTACAATTTTAATGCCAGCTAGTTACTTGTAAATGTTGACCAGCTTAAGCATGCCTCTTACCAGATGTATTCTCTGAGAGCTTGCGTGTGTGACATCTGTCACATATAATGTTGTATTGCATCATTTCTGAGATCTAGGATCAGAGTTATGATTGAAAAAATAGTGAGGGACTGACTTGGAAAAGGAGAGGTATGTAAAGAATCTTCCTGTTAATTTTTTGGTTAAAAGTCTAATCGAATGTGATCCTGGGAACCGGGGGCTTGCGGGGGGGGGGGTTGGGGCATAGGATAAGCATTGGTACTGGACTGCAAACCAGAAGGCCGGCAGTTTGAGCCCATCAGACACTCCATGGGAGAAAGATGAGGCTTTCTGCTCCTGCAAATATTTAAAGCCTCGGAAACTTTATACAGCATTGCTATGAGTGTAAACCAACTGGAAGACACTTAACAACAACATTGTGATCCCACCCCCAAAATGCAGAAGTATACTTTAAATGAGTCGGTATTGATTTAAAACTTAAGCCATAGGTACACAGTGGAATTCCTAGATCTTAGCTAAGTATGTGGTTCAATAACTTTTTTTGCAAACCAACTTTGAAGTAATATAAGTATTCAGTTTAGTGAGGTTTACCTAACATCTACACCCATATAACCACCAACAAAATGAAAATACAGAACATTTTTAACACCCCCAAAAGTTCAATTGTTCTCCTGGTCCTGGTCCCAATCAGTTCAATCCCCTTTTGTGTTATGCTGTAGGATAAGCATTGGCCCACAAGGTTGGTTTGAACCATAAGGTCGGCGGTTCAAAATCACCAGCCGCTCTTTGGAAACCCTATACAGGGTCACTATGAGTCGGAACCACCACCAACAACACAATGCTCTATTTTGTTTTGCTCAGCTTTCACTTTTTTGTGTGTGGCCGAGGGAAGGTGACTTTCTGAGAGATTCCTTCTACTTTATCTTCTGACTTTTCCTTTGAGTTTGTCGTTTCCGCTCTCCCATTTTAAACTTCAAGAAACACTTTTGTTGATTTTGTATAACATCCTGTTCTTGATCCATGGATACAATATCATTTCTTATCTTGCGTGAATGGAGTACATAATATGTTATTGCTATTTTAAAGGCAGTTAGTAGTTTGTTTCCCCCCAAGGGACTTTTTATTTTCTTTTGTTTTTTAATTGCTTTTATATGAGAGGCTCTCCTCTGACATTTTATAATCCATGGTGGTCTGTACCTGGGGGTTACAAGGCAAATTGAAAGCTCTGAGCCAGGGAAGGCTCTTGTCAATACTGAACTGGCTGCTGGCTCTAAGTGGCTGAGGATTGTATTTCTGGTCTTTCCTCTTCTCTGCTTGGAGGACAAAGGTCTGGCTGCCAGCAGTGTGGGGACCTAACAGGACAGAGAGCTCAGCTCTCACTTAGGCCCCATTATTAATTTGGCATTTACACTCACCACTGTGCCAATCTGTCTCCAGTCCAGAGACCTTCAAATTTAACATTTTCCAGAAAGTACACCTCCAGATTTCTGCAGAAGTGTGAGGTGGCAGGCAGCCAACAGCATGGAGTAAGGAGGGAGGGGCCTGCTTCTGGTTCTTCCTCGCCAGCTTCCTCCAGTCCCTTGCAGGGACTCGCCTGCATTCTGAACAACCTGGTACCTCCAGTCCTGGAGGCACCTGGGGTGGACATTCAGTTGATTCTCACCTTTCCTTCCTGCTCTCCCAGCCCAGCTTCCAGCTTTCCAAATTTTGCTGCTGCTTTCTCTCTCGTTACCCCTTAGGGGTTGTCTTTAACGATAATAGGATATAAACGAAAGGTCAGAGTCTTTAACACAAGTCCCTGGTGTTTGGGGTCAGTCAGGTTAGCAGAGTCTGACTGGCCCACCATCTCTCCCAGTAGGCCTTTGGTGAGTCTGTTAACCCGGGCTTGTCCTCGTTCTGACACTTTGGGGGTATGGAAGTTGGGTCCGTTTCCTAAGAAAGCAGTAGTACAGTGTAAGGTTATAAAAGTATATTTGATTTTCTCTTAAGAACTGTTGTTTCACAAAAGCCTACCATTAGAGTTCCCAGGCCTGACACTCAAGGCTCTTCACGGTCTGGCCTACCTACCTGTGACCTACCTGTCAGCCACCCACCCTGACCAATTCGCCATCCATAGTGAAATGCCTGGCCCTCCCTTCCACCTCTCGGCTTTCTTGTGCCAAGCCCATGCCAGTTGTGTGGTGGTTCCCTTGTATTTTTTCCCTGGGCCCCTGGACATACCCCTAAATTAGCACCCTGCATTTCCCACCCCGATGGCTGTCTCTGATGTCCATTTCTGCACTAGGTCTGCACCGTGCCTGGCATGAAACTGAGGCTCATAAATGCATGGATGAATTTCTGATGCCAGAGATTTCAAAAGAAAACACTTTCTTCTTTTTTTTTTCTCTTTGTAGGATATCCGACATGAAGCCAGTGACTTCCCATGTAAAGTGGCCAAGCTTCCTAAAAACAAAAACCGAAACAGGTACAGAGATGTCAGTCCCTGTAAGTATTCACATCACCGTTACTGGTCTCTGAGCAGCCATTGCGTGCTCAGCTGCTGGGCCTTTTCAGCCACGCCCCCTTAACCCCGGGCTTTGTTGGTGAATCCATAATAGTGGAGCAGATTACTTGATGGTTTCCTATAATAAAGGAACTAGAGACTTGAGTAACAGTTCATCATTCCACTATTGTAGCAGAAGTAAGGTTTCCCTTTCTAGAAAATTCAGCTAAGTTCAAAGCACATCCCTGTGTTTAGCTTTGACTCTCTCTTTGTGATGAATCATTTTCCTGCCAGCTGAAGCAAAGTACAGCAAGCATAATATAACCTTTTGTCAATGACTCAGCACCTGTGTTATTAGCCCCTAACTGTGGCAGTCCACTATAGTGATGCCCGGCAAGAGTGTTAAGGGGCAGGAACTTTTCAGCACCTCTCCTAAAAACTGTGAGACCGCTCCATCTGGCCTCCTCTGCCTACCGAGGGATCAGCTCCCAGTCTGCTGATGTGTAGACAGTAGCTCACCAGGTGAGACTGTGTGTTACACAGGAAAAAGCGGGGTTGCATAGGATCTGGGTTTGCTCCTGAGTAAAGAGCTTGGGCTTTGTCATCTCTGTACAGAGCCCTTTTTGACTCCCCTACTCCCTCCCCCCTCCCCCCACAGGAGTTTTAGACTTTGCCAATCAGAGTGGTGGGAGCAGCCGAATCTCCCATGTAGGTGGTATTCCCTGTTGTTGTTATGTGCTGTGGAGTCAGTTCCGACTCATAGTGACCCCTGTACAAGGTTTCCGAGGCTGTAAATCTGTACGGGAGCAGAAAGCCTCATCTTTCTCCTGCGGAACAGCTGGGAGTTTTGAACTGCTGACCCTGAGGTTCGCAGCCCAATTCATAACCACTACGCTACCAGAGCTCCTGGTGTTCCCTGCTGGGCGGCAAAGCTCTTTCACAGGCCCTCCAGCAGGCACTGAGTGGGTGCTTTCCAGAGGGAGGGGTGGTCTTCAGTGTTCCCTGCAGCAGAGTGGGCAGTGCAGTGCCTGGGGGGATTGGGGGGGCGGGGCGGTTAGTTAGTAGACCTAGAATTGGGTCAGTGCAATGTGCCTCTGGGCTGCTGCCTTAGTGTGAAGCTCACTTCCACTTCTTTTATCTAGGTGGCTTTGGGGCAAATTGTTCTCTGATCTTTTAGCAAGACAACACTCATCCGTATCCCATAGAGCTATGTAAAGCCCAAATCATATCAGCCCCTTTGCCCAGGGCCTCACCATGTAATCACGTAAAAAGCACTTCAGATACCCTTGGTGTGGCTTTCAGCAAACACCGCCACACCAGAGTCACCTCTGTGTGAGCGCTAGCTGTGTATGTATGGGGCGCACTAGACAGTGACCCACGAGGGCCACGATTCGAGCCCAGCAGCCGTGCCAGCACTAGACTGTGAACCACATCACAAAACCCAGAATGCAACCTCATTGCCATCTAGTCAATTCAGGCTCATAGCAGGCTAGAGGAGAACTGCCCGATAGGGTTGCCTAGCTTTACGGAGCGGCTGGTGAGTTGGAGCCGCTGACTTTTCAGTTAGCAGCTGGGCATTTAACCAGTGCACCACCAGGGTTCCTTTCACACGTAGCTTGTTGTTGTTAAGTGCCATTGAGTCAGTTCCCACTCAGGGTTCCAACTCAGTAGAGTTTGCATGGAGTAACTGGTGGATTTGAACCACCCCTGACCTTGTGGTTAGTAGTCCAGTACTTATCCCAGAGTGCCACACCAGGACTCCTCGTACATAGCTTTGTTGTTGCTGTTAAGTGTCATCGAGTAGGTTCTGACTCATAGCCACCCTATATAGGGTTTCCAAGACTTTACATTATTGCTGGAGCAGAAAGCCTCATCTCTCTTCTGCGGTGCGGCTGCTGGGCTCGAATCGTGGACCTCGTGGGTCACCGTCTAGTGCTCCCCACGCATACACAGCTAGTGCTCAGTCAGAGTTGGCTCTGGTGTGGCGGTGTTTGCTGAAAGCCCCACCATGAGTCATGAATATCTGAAGTGCTTTTTACGTGGTTAGACCCCAACACCTTGGAACCTGGATTTAGCACGTGTAAGCCACGTCCCCTGACAGGCTTTGTTTTTAATGCTCCTTCAGTGAGTCGGCTGCGAAGTCCTACCCAGAAGCCTGTGGCCAGCAGATCTGGTCTTGAAAGAACACTCCCTGATCATATCTCCTGCAGCATCGGGAAGGAGAGCCCCTTGGTCTCCAACTTTTGCTGAACTTGCTGTCTCGAATATTTCTAAATAGTTGTACTCAGTGTTCATCCAAATGGTTGAACCAGCTTTGCAGAGAAAAAAACAGCAAGTAAAATATTCTTTTAGGGAAATTAGTCCCCACCTTTTTCAGCCCCCATCTCACACCCTCACATTTTTTTCCCCCAATAGAAGGCATACTCTGCTCTTACAGTTGTGGGGAAAATGGGGAGAGAGATTCAGGAAGAAGAGGCCCTGGTGGCCGTGATTCCCTGGGGTGATCGTGGTAATGCCAGCCAGCAGAGATTGGGCATGGGCTTGGCACCAGGCACTATGCTAGCCTTTTACATGCATCACTTCATCTTCCTACAACCTTCGCATCTTCTGTATGGCTAGTGAAAAACAAAGGCTCTCAGGACGACTTGTTTGCCCACAGTCGCCCAATGCATTTGAACCCAGTGGCATAACCTGTTCACAGTTGTTTGAGATAATCTGCACCATGGTACATTTCACTTTGACCCCAGGGTCACAATTTGTAGTAACCCTCCATGAGAAACAGTCTTCCAAAGTGAGTATTTTTGAAAACATCTCTTATTGAGTTAGTATCTGTCTTTGGAACAGAACAAATCCACAGGCACTGACCCCATTATCTTCTTTCCCACTGGCCTGGAGGCGAAAGTCCTATGTATGATTGTCACCTGAGCTCAGCACCCCTCATGCTGTGCCAGGAAAGCAGGGACCCACCTGTTCTCGCCAGCAGCACTCACAGGAAGAGGGTGTGGCCCTCTGGGAACCACTGTTAGTTTCATGACAAAGTAATGTGACCGAAAAGTAAAAAAAAAATGAGGCTGTACTTGTCTAATAACCTGGGCTGAACTTCCAAATGAGCATTTATTTCTAAGACTGTTTGTTCTAAAAATTACATTTCATATACATGCATTTTCCACATTTTGGATTCAGAGTTTAGCTTTTCCAGTTAAATTCTTTTCATTAAAAATATTTGGTCCTGGCAAGTTTTGAATTTTGAAAGATTTAGAATCTCTAGGGAGCCTGGCAGCATAGTGGTAAAGCGCTTGGCTGCTAACTGAAGCGGTTTAAACCCACCAGCTGCTCTGAAGAAGAATGACCCGGTGGTCTGCATGCGTCAAGATGACCACCTAGACCTCTACGGGACAGTTCCATTGTGTCACATGTGCTCACAACAAGTCAGAAGTTCACAACAAGACAGCACACAACAAGAAGTTCATTGTATTGAGCTTCTGAGAAACCTGTGGCAAGGAATTTCAGGTGTGACTTTCCCCATGGCTGTGCACTTCGGCCATTTCATCTGCCAACACTGACCATTGGTCAGGCTGAGGTACAATCTCAGTGTCAGTAATGCCGTGGAGACTGGGTGAAATGTTGGTGGGATGTTGTTTCCCTCTAAAGATCGAACCCAAAAGCCAAAACCAAAACCAAGGCCATTTTGACTCATAATGACCCTGTATAGGGTTTCCAAGACTGTAAATCTTTACAAGAACAGACCGCCATCTTTCTCCTGTGGAGCAGCTGGTGGGTTTAAACCACCAACCTTGCCAGTAGCAATCCCAAAGCTTATATATATCAACTATCTCGTTATCTGACATTTTGCATTTACAACAATTGTCAAAAAAACAAACAAACCAAACTATTATCTATTTTGCACCTTAAAGAAGTATGTCTGGCAATAAGGAACACCAGGGTACCAGTTGAGAATAACCCTTGCTGTTAAGATTATGTATTAACATGGCTGTGCTGTGGTTTTTAGTGATTTGGCAGTTATAATGGAGTCCTCTTCCGTTTTGTGATCTCATCCTCCATTTTTGCATAATGTCAATTTTCACACAACAGCCTGGCTGTTGGACCCTAACCACCTAACCATGTCAGTAAGTGTGAGGAGTGGGTATGTTAGGCACCTAGGAATGGCTCCCTTGGGTTCCCCCCATCTCCACCCCACCCCCAAGCCTACCTGGATCTTGGGAAAGGTACCATGTGTCCTGGAACACCTCTCCTAAGGAAGACGTTTTGTTTTAATGTAGCTTATCCCTGTTACTCGTCTTGATGGCACTATCCCTGTTACTATTTAGTTTTAAATTTTGAACACTCAAAAAAACCCTTTCTTGCCTTTATGTCTTCTATGTCGTCACTTGATCTTCTGAATATGCCGGTCATCATCACTCCTTACAGCAAAGCCTCTGCCAGTGGGACCGCCCTAATGACTGACAGATTCTTCACCCTCTCCAGCAGGGGGCACTTCTTGCTTGTCAGCTCTTTTGATTGTTTAGGATTAACCTCTGAGTTCTGGTTTGCCTTTCAGTTGACCATAGTCGGATTAAACTACATCAAGAAGACAATGACTATATCAATGCTAGTTTGATAAAAATGGAAGAAGCCCAAAGGAGCTACATTCTTACTCAGGTAAATGGATTGTTCTGATATTTAAGAATTTTCTTTTCTCCCCCTTAGTCCAGTCAACTTAAGTTGCCTGCCACTTTTTTTAGAATGTTGGGCTTTTAACAAACCAAAAAGCAACAAGAAATCTTCCTCCCAAGATTCTGTTTTGGTTATAGCATTAATCTGGGAAGTATGACGTTGCTGGGAATCAGAGCTTACGCAAACACAAGAAAATGCCACAATTGCCTGTGGTCTGTTGACAGAGGCAGCGGAGCTAGTGCCGTAAGTACTCGCCTCAGAGTGTCAAATGTTCCTGACGGGAAAGCTGACAGGGTTGGCGGAGACAGGTCCCCTTGGTCCAGACTTCTGTTTAGAAGGTCTGCATTTCCTCCTCAGCACAACTCTGCCCTCGGGCCCAGAAAAGGCCTTATCAGGTGACCTGAGCAAACGTGAACTTAGAAACATTGCTTGGAATTCTTTTTGGCTTCTGACATCTTTATAGGTGAAAAAATCCTGAAAATCATTAAATGGGCCCTCTTAGAAAACACTCAATGGCGTGCTCTTAGGTGTCTGTGAAGGAGGTAAAAGAGTTTCTGTTTTCTTATTCCGACAGTTTCTTAGTCTTATAGTATGTCTTTGAGTTATATTTGCATATTGAAATTATGGAGAAGTTAGAAACTACGAGCACTGGCTGATTTGGGGTGGGGAGCTAGACCAGGCTGTATCTGCTGTGGCCCTTCTTCACTGCCTCTTGGTCCCATCCCAGTTCCTTCCCTCCCAAACCCAGCATCAGTCCAGGCGTTTCCCTGTCAGTGTCAGCCAAACTGTCAATCTATTGAGCAAGGCCTCAGCTCCTGGTCCTCCCAGCACATCTGTGGTGTGGGATGGATAGGGGCAGGGGAAGTGGGTGTGGGGTGACAAGGACGGAGCTCACGGGTGAGAGCAAGCTGGTAGAAAGAGGTAAGAAAAAAGTGGCTTCTTGGGGAACTTCTGTTTCCAAGGAGTCAAGTTCCATACTTCCTGATTTCAACCATCTGCCTTTGGTGTGGGGTCATGATACCCAGAGCAGAGATGGGTAGGTCTAGGGTGCTATAGAGCCTATTCTGAAAACTTCTCACCCTGAGCTTCCTACCCTCATGCTCTAACAGTTACTTGGGACAGCTGAAGTTCTGTCTGTTTTATAAAATAGTACAGCGGATGTATCTAGCTGTTTACCTAGTCTTTCTTTGACTTGAGATTTACAAAAGGGATTGATGCAGTCTGACCCCAAGTTAGCATCCTCAACTACCGGTATGATGTTTTCCAAGTCACCAAAACAAGAAACTACTTTCCATTTTTTTAATGTTGTACTTATACAAAAGATATATGTAGTATATATTCTCATTTTTAAAAAATCAGAAGCCTAGCGAATACTGTCAAAGCTGAAGTCAGCTAAGTTTGGTGTAGTTCCTTTCAGATCTCAGGTGATTCTGATCCTCAGACTCAGAATTCTAAACCGGGCAATGTTGGGGGCACAGGCTAGGAAAGCAGAGTTAATGTGACAACTGTGTGGGACCCGCCAGTGGGTCATTTGTCCAGGACGGAGGACTGGGTCATTCCTGAGAGGATGACAGGCCCAAGTGGCCAGCCAGGAGACCACCTCTTTCCTGCTGTGGTCATGTTAGTTGTAAGAAAAAGGGTACATGGGTAATCTGCTCTTGTCTGTGTAGAGTGCTGGCCTGTGTGGTTCAGGCAGTAAGTCTGAGATGTGTTCAGAGAAGGAAATGAGTGGGCACAAAGGGCTGGTATGGACAAGGAACGTGGTGTGAAACCTCAGGAGGAAAGCATTTAAGAAAGGAACCTTGGCGTTGTTGACCGTCCAAACCATAGGCTCTGAGGATCAGACTCTAGCTACCTAGTAGACATAACAAACTGTCCCTCATCTGATTATTCAGTAATGCTTGTTAGTAATCTCATACTTGAGCCCTGGATATCCACAGACAAATGTAAAAACCTCCCCTAAAAGCCGAGACTGTAAATTCCAATAAGCCAAGTCCCCCCCAATCCAAA